CACACACACACACACACACACACACACACACACACACACACACACACACACACCATGCCCATCTAGTGGCATATCTTGTGCTAGGTGAACTGGAAAAGACCCGAGAAGTAAAAATTTCATGGGACACTCCTACTACATCTATTCAAAGTGGAAAGAACAGAGACAGCCACATGACTTAAAAAGACCAGACCTAACTACCTCTCACAGGATCAGTCTCCACTCCCAAGGGACCCTGCTTACAGCACGAGGGACCCAGCCCTAATAGCCCTGCCAATGGCATCTCTTTACTTCTCCTCTTAACCCAGTTTAACAGGAAAGCAAGATGAAACAGACGTACTTACACATGAGTGCACACAGGCACACAACCTGCTCTAAGTCTCTTGAAAATGAGCAGCAATCTTTGTGGGGCTGCTTCTTGACACAAATGGTGACACACCCATGGGAACACGACCAAGCAGGGCCAATGTCAGGAAGGACAGCACTGAGTCTCAGGAACAAAGAGAACCTCTGCTGGGCCCCTAAGCTGCTGGGCTACACGACTTGTCCTTGCATAGACCCAACCATTCGCCCCAGAGAACTTTCAGCTCCAAAACACAAATCCCAGCTGAGCAACAAGAAATGGGCTGAAGGTTGCTGTGCACTTTCAAGGAGACTATATATCCCTCAAAGATCTGTCATGAGCAAAATGTCAAACACAGGAAAATCAACACACTTTCATAGAATAAATGGTGAAGTTACTTGCCTGTGCCTAACTGGCAAATAAATAAATCCATAGTAGTAAAAAAAAAAAACAAAAAAATACAGCCTAGCACAGGCCATAACAAAGCACAAATTATATTAGAATATAAAGCATAATAGTAACAATAAAAATGAGCAGAGCAGACAGCTGTAGACCTGGCTACTCAGAAGGTTAAGGCAGGAGGATCACTTGAGCTCAGGGGTTCCAAGGTTGCCTGGGCAACATGTTCACAGACTTGTGTCTCAAAAATTGAGAGACAATTACCAGACCTAAGAAGTTTGCCTTAGGAAAATGTCATGATGTAATACAAAGCCAGTTTATAATGATGGGGCCTTTACCCAGCATCCCAATGTGCAAGAAAGGATAAAAACTCACTCCACTGAACTCCACTGCACTCAATGGAGAACAGGCACTCAGGACCCTGGAACATTCACACTCTTTTGGCTCCTCCTCCCACAGTCAAGTTTATCCACTCACCACTTGGCTTGATTTCGCGCACATAGTTGCTGGGGAACCAGCCGGTCCTGCCACTGTGCGTGCCCTCCCACCAGCCTCCTTCCTCCACTCGTGTGACATGGATGACATCACCCTTCGTGAAGGAGAGCTCATCTTCATTGGTCTGCTGGAAATTAAACTTGGCTCGTACTACCAGTTGGCTGTTGCTATTATCAGTCATGTCCTAGAAGACAGGTGGGGAGGAGTGGGAGAAATATCCATGAAGTACGGTCTACTTTCCTATAAAATAGTTACATTTCACTGTCACAAAAATAGCCAAAACATTATTATAATTGCTCCAAACATTCAAACAGCAGGAGAGCACCAGGCATGGTGACACAAGCCTTCAGTTCCAGCGCATTACACATCTGGATGCAATCAGTGTGCCTGTCTCTACCTTGCAAACTAATCTCTATACTATGGGCACAGACATGTTTCCAACTATATAATAGCACACAGTACACTTGTGCAACTAATTTTAGGTTGTTCCCAATATTTGTCTATGTACTACATGAAGTGTTTCTCTTAAATTGCAAAAGCTCCACTAAAAATATTTGCATATCATTTTATTGTGAATATAACTTTATGTTAAATGCTGGTCCTGAGGCATGTGTAATACATTTAAACTTTGGTATTTCTAAACTTACCTCCCAAAAAGCTCTACACACTTACACTAAGCAACACATAGTTCGTTCATCAAACAAACATTCAGCCACAGTAATGGGAAAACAATACTTCACATTCTGGATGCTCAGTGCTCAGAGACCCCACTTCCATACCTCTGAAAAGCAGGAGTTCTGGGGGTTCTGTCTTCTCCTCCCAACTTGAATGAGGCTGTGGAGAGGCTGGCCAAGTACAAATCTACCAACAATGACCCCCAACCCCTCCCAAAAAAAAAAAAAAAAACCCACCGCCACAAAAATAAAAAAAAAGTCAACCAGTAAAATCTGCACCCACATTTCTAGGAACCAGATACCACGAACCCATCCACTACAGCAGGTGGCCTCATTTCACCTGCATCTTGAACTGAGCAAAGGCTGACACAATGCTCCAGAGCCTTAGACCACCACTGCTCTGCCCACGCCTTTGACATCCATGAAGACCAGTCAGGAGTTCTGACCATGTCCCCACTAGACAGCAGCAGGTAGCCCCATCTGGGCACACTGGTGTTTTCTAGCCCTCCACCCATCACAGAGACAGAAGACTGGACCCCCAGGAGCCCACAGGACCCAACAGTGCTGATTCCTCTATGAGGTATCAAAGACACAGCAGAAGATATACTGCAGCAGACTTCATCTCAATCAGGAAATTTTTGACAAAACAGAAAGGGATCATTAGTGGATGCAACTCGAGATGAAAGGAAGCTAACAGAGGAGGAAGTACACTTCACTACTCTCATCTGTACCAAGTGGTTTAGAAAATGGTCCCAGGAGGATGGCATGTAACGCATTGAAGCCACAAAGCGTCTTCCGTGGTACTACACTATAAAAGAAGCATGGAAAAGTCTTGGCATAATCTCCTACAGCACAGTTGGTGAACTCGGAGACTGGTACCCGAGCAACTTCAGGACAGCATCAGAGAAATCTGGGGTTCCTGGCTCCAAGAAAGGAGGAAATGCTATAACAATCTAGTTATTCTTCCCAGAGATGAGGGACAGCAGGTGCAATGCTTACACTACTAATAACCCCAACCCTGATAGTCGCACTGAGAACCATAGCCATGCTTAGCATCAGTGGATGAACACACAGACCCGGACATTCTAAAGGCATCAACGTGCAGCCCACGCCTGTGATTAACTTGCTGCTGCTCCTCTGCTGAGAGGAGCCTCACAGGGCAGTATTTAAACTAGCTTTTGAAAACATAAGAGGGCCAGGCAGTGGTGGTGCACACCTTTAGTCCCAGCACTCAGGAGTCAGAGGCATGTAGATCTTTGTAAGTTCAAGGCCAGCCTGATCTACAAAGCAAGTTCCAGGACAGCTAGGGCTGCACAGAGAAATGATAGGCAGGCAGGCAGGCAGGCAGGCAGGCAGGCAGGAAAATAAATAAATAAATAAATAAATAAATAAATAAATAGAGATCTGCACTTAGACCTTGAGTAAAGAAATACCTGCTTTTGAGGGGGAGGGGGAGAGGCAGCTAGGTCCTGCCTTAACTTGGTATACCAGATATGTTGACTCCCCAAGGGAGGCCTTACCCACTCGGAGGAATGGGGAGGGAGAGAGAACTTGAGCTAGTATGTAAAATGAAAAAAAAGTTTTTTAATTAAAAAAAAAAAAATACTTGCTGTCCCCTTCGTCATAGCAACTTTGGTTTTTTGAGAAGTTTTACATCTCCACTTAGGAAATCAGGACTGCCACCCCCATCAGCAGTGGCACTGGGGCAGAATGGCTGTTGTCACCCTCTCCTGATGTCCTGTTCCTCCTCACTGCCCAACTCCAGCTTTTATTCACAGGTTCTTCTCCAAGGAAGGCTGTTCCTATCCTGAGGTCCAGGCTGCCAGAGCCAAGATCCTAGCTCTGTGAACAGAAGGCTCTGAGTCAAACAAAATAAAACATCTTACCAAGCTTCGGTACTGGCTCTGAAGCAATTTTGAAGTCCTACTGTGTGAAGACTGGGTTCCCAAGGAATCAAAAGACTTTATCCGATGTGAAGAGGGCCGAGCACACACAGAGTCACTTCCTAGTCCGATGTCTGAAACGGTCATACACACAGAAAGAAAAAGTGCTGAAAAACCTGACACCATGTACCCACAACACACACTGGCTCTAAAACTGAACCAGCATGGAGGGACACACCAAAAGCCCACAACAAAGCATGCCATTCACACTTTACACAGCAACAAAGAGCAGACTCTTTGTCCCACAAATGATGCATTCACTCCCCAAATACCTCTCCAGGAACCATCTGGGGATGACTAACTTATCAATCAGTTCTTCTCTAGTGTAATTCTCAACAGTTTGCAAACCATTTTATAGGTGTTCTTAAAACATTCCCTTCATCTGGGAAAAAAATATATATATATATATGCTCACGAGGAACCACCAGGCACTCTGTCTCCAGCACACCACATGTGCCCTTCTCTGAGGCAGAGAGGCAGAGATGAACAGTCATACATCACATATGATTACCTAGCACTTGACAGCACTAAGGATGTGTCACATGCAACATCACACACACACACAACTGTTGGCAGAGCCTGTCATTGTTCAGATGGACTACACAGTGTATGCCACCATAGCACAGCCCACTACTGACCAAACACCATTGTGGGACTCATGGCCATAATAAACACGGAGCGTGGACAACGCCATTGTGAATCTATCTCAACCTCTAAACATTCACCATGTGCCAGTGAAGACACAGCCACATCCCAGTGCTCTGAGCCAGCAGACCCTATTCTTACTATAAAGCCAGGAGCTAGTAAACCCGGAGCTCAGGAAAAGTTGTTTGTAAACTACAACCACAGCAAGTATGTGCTAGGGAGTGGCTCAGAGACAGCTACTGTGTTCAAAATTTCCCAGCACCAGGAACTGTTGCTGCCCCAGCACTCACAACCCCAGAATCACACACCACCAGCAGCAGAAAGAACAACTAGACGCTTCTTTCTCGATGCATAATGATCATTTTACCTTGCTGACAGGAAACAAGACACAAGCCTTTATACTCACCCCGAGGACACTTAATGAGAGTCTTACCTGCTGTCACTTTATTTAATGTCACCAAGGAGCCGAGGACCTTGTTAAAGTTCTGCCCCTGATATAAGTCATTTGCATCAAAAGTCTGAAAGGAAATGAAACAAGAAAACTAGTACCGTATTATATGCTGGCACTGATAAATGAAATTCTCTCAATGGCATGTGGTTGTACAAGGTCAGCACACTTGGTCTGAAACACTCAAGAGGCAACACAACCTCGAGCAGGCCCTGGGGATAAGATTCCATTGGATTCCCTTGTGAGGCACCAAGCCCTTGGAGGAAAACCAAACCCAGCTCTGCTCCCTTCTCCACCAAGGTCAGGCAAAAGCCAGGGTGTAAGTCAGGGGCCACCAATAAAGGTACTGAGTGAAGGCTCGGGGAGGGCTGAAATCCTCTTTCTTTAGACTGTATAGAGTCTACAGGACAGGACATGCCAAAGATGTTCTCTTCTAGTACATAAGAAGTTAAATTAAATGCACCCCATCCAAGGAACAGCACACAAGGTACATGGAGACAGGGGAAAGCACAGAAGGTGACAGGGAAACAGATGGAAGATGAAGCTGATCCCAGGAGAGAGACGAGGTAGGGCCCAGGGTAGAGAGCTCTGAAGAACCTGGACTGTAGGCCAGAACTCACTCTGACCCTGAGTCAGTCACACCACAAGACTGAGCCAGGAGAGAAGACACATGAGCTAGCCTGGGTTAAGACAGCTGGAATCCAAACACAAGAATGTGTTCCCGTGTGTGTGTATGTATTTGTGTGCTATGTGGATGTACCACTCACCTAAATCTAGGAGAGAATGTGAGAAGATCACCTGGTTAAACACTTCTGCTTTTGTTTGGAGGAATGTGTGCACACATGCCTGCTTACAGATGTGCTAAAACATGCACAACTCTTTCCAAGCACTCTTTAAGGACTGTGTGTCACTTCTGATCACTAAATAACCTCTTCAAATACTTTTTATAAACCAAATCATCCAGAAAAACTAAGACAAATCTAAATGGTGTAAATTATAGGAAGAAAAGCTAAATGCCAAAAGCTGGATGCCCAAATGCATAACAAATTAACATAGTTTCTCTTCTTGAAGCAAAATAGAACAATCTTGATCCGCTGCTCTGGGATAAGCACCTGTGGGCTGGCCACTCTGCCCTCCTCCTCCTTTTGCAGCCTCCCCACCAGGGCCAGGAACTCCCTCCTCCACCCCTTCCTGCCTTCCCACACCCCACCTCCTTCCTGCAGAGTCTCACTGTTTTACTTCCTGAAGTCCTGCCCCAGCTGTGCTGAGCTCCCAGAAATCCCCCAAGTACCAGCGTCCATGTGTGCATTCCATCCTAGGGCAGAAAGTCTAAAGAGGCTGACTACACATCTCCCACCACCCACCCAATGTATACTGGACCTGGCCTGAGTGGATTTGTGCATCACCCATCCAGAGAGTAAGATGTACCTTAAAAAGAGGATGATGGTCAAAACAGTTCAAAAGGGGACACTGCTGAAAATTCATGAGAACCAAACCAAAGCACAAAACCCCAAAATCCAAAAAGCAATCGTCTCAAACTCCACCAGTCTCAGTAGGCAGGTCAGTCTTCCTCTGATCCCTTCCAGCAAAACCCTCAGGACTTTCATGGGCTGCAATTTGTCCTGGGTTGTAACACTTGTAGCTTACAGAGAGAGCCAGTCCAAATGGGAACTCCTTCTAGGTTCACCTCCCTGTTACAATTTTTAAGGATCACAATAGGCTAAGTTCCATTTTTTAAAGAATAAAATGTATTGCCCTGCCTAGGCCTTAGTTTCCTCATGAAAAATGTGAAGTTCCCTTAATTATAAAATGCCACAATGGTGAGCTGTCCTTCAGCTCTAAGGTCTAATATTGAGCCTGGAAAATTCAAGCTCTGGTATTCCACCAGAAACACACAAATTCCCACTAACCTTCATTATGGTGAAGCAGCAAGTCACAAACCCCAGAACAACAGGATGTGAAATACGGGAACGCTTCCTGTTATTCCAAGACTATATAGCTTTCCTACCCAGATACCACGGAGCATCTGACTGGCTGAAGCTGCAGCCAATGGGCTTCAGCGTGACATGAGACCTCAGTAAGTACTGCTACCTTCCTTCCCAGGAAACCCAACAGTGAGATCAGACAAACCAGGAGGCCCATTCTAATGTGGTGAACTGAGCGTTCAGTTGGGGTGCTTTTCCAAGGAGCACAACAGACTACTTCCCCAAACAGCAACCCAGCCAGCAAAAACATAACCAAAAGGCCTTAATTCAGAGACGGTCACACTAAAGGAACCAGAAGAGGCCTGGAGCCTTCCCTGAACATCTCCCATCTAAGCCAGTCAGTATGACATACAAGACCACTCCCCAGAGCCATGAAGTGTCTAGGACAGAATGCACAGCCTGGAATCGCTGTGCTTCGCCAAAAAGGTAACACCACCAACTGGCAGAACAGTTGGCCTTCACAGCACACAGAAGCAGGAGGCTACTGCCACACAGACCAGAGGTACACATGTGCTTCAGAAGGTCTGCTTGCCCCTCTCCTGCCCTAACATTCCTTCTGTCCAGGCACAGAAGTCTGTGACCCTGCTGGCCACATTCCCAGATAAGCCAATTCTGACCTTCAAAGACTTTGCAATCTGATCTACCTGCCATCTCAAGCCACAACATCTTCTACATCTCTAAAAGTGCTATATTTGCACACAGTCCCTATTTTATGGTTATCTGCAAGAACCAAACACAATGTCAGGCTTAGCTCTTGTATAAATGCCTGAACAGAGAAGAATGTGGTATTAACTGTTCACATAGTATCTGTATGGCAAGCTGACACCATCAAGGTGACCTGTGAGCAGGTGTGAATATGCCTGGTCACCTGTGGAGTAAGGTGACACCATCAAGGTAATCTTTCAGCAGGTATGAACATGCCTGGTCACCTGTGGAGCAAGGTGACATCATGAAGGTGACCTGTGACCAAGTGTGAATGTGCCTGGTCACCTGTGGAGTAAGGTGACACCATCAAGGTAATCTTTCAGCAGGTATGAACATGCCTGGTCACCTGTGGAGCAAGCTGACATCATCAAGGTGACCTGTGACCAAGTGTGAATGTGCCTGGTCAGCTGTGAGGTAAGGTGACACCATCAAGGTGACCTGTGAACAGGTGTAAACATGCCTGGTCATCTGTGTCCCCCAAATGTAGTTCTTCTGACCAAACTATAACATTGTCTCATCCAAGAACAGTAGGACAAGCAGGAGCCTATGGAGCATGGCTGCTAGAAGCTGATCCACCCAGACCTGCCCTATCAGGACTCAATGGTCTGACCTCCTTTATTTCTCTAACCCAGGCTTAGTAGGGCTAGACTTTTCCTCACTAGTTTGGGGGGTTGGGGGTCCTGCATCCTGCAGGCCTACTTAAGTTCCAGGAGCCTTGTGGAGTATCAACAAGTCTCTGACCAAGTTCTTCAAATGAGAAGGGCCAGGCCCAAGTGGAGCTGCTGCCAAGAGTGACACCTACCTGCAGCTGGCAGAACTGGTCAGGGGTGGGAGAGCGATGCATAAACAATGTCCCTCAGCAAGGTGCCATCTTCTACCTACAAACACAGCCAGGACTTTCAGAAGCACAGGCCATACAGAGCAAGAGCACTTTAGCACAGCACCTCCTCCTCTCAGAACGCTGTGACTCTGAGCAAGCAATGTCACACTTCCTAGCAAACAAGGATTCTCTTCTACCCAAATCCAAAGCACAGTCATTATAAACTGTTGGCAGCTAAGGCTTCAAAGAAAGGGGGAGGGATGCCTGGATGTAAGCAAATCGGTTGTGAAAGAGCTCATTCCCAGAGGGCCCCACTGTACCCTCAGTAGGTGACAGACCAACAGCCCAGGTGGACTCTCTACTCTGGCCTGTGCCACGCATGCCTCTACTCTAGGTCACCTCTAGGAACCTAAGTGACCACACATTTCTGCACTATTCTCTAACTCAGTAGCTTGAACAGAAAACATCTATAGTGTTCTAATTTACGTTCAGAAGCAACTTGCTGCATGAATGTAGGTGGGAAGCTGCAGGCATTTGGCAGCCTGAAGGTGTCAATGGGCTGGAAATCCTGATAACAAGAAATCGCCACTGCAAGGCTGTTGGAAGGAAACCTGGATTCCTAGTGTCCACATTGCAAGGATAAAGCTCCCTAATGCAAGCAAAAGGAAGGTAGGGCCTACAATTTCAGGAATGGCATGGCCTACTCTAGGAAGCCATGTATTTATCAGGAGTTTTCAGTGTAGCCCACAGCAGCAAGTAGTAGAGCACCTTCTTCAAAGAAGAACAGGGGCTTGAGACTGACTACCAAGACACAAGCCAAGCCAGTGGCCACTGAGACAGAAGGAGAGCTACGCAAGGAGCCAACAACCTAGACCACATGTAATTTAAACTTAGAAGACTGGGCACTAAACATGAACAGAGCCCATCCAGATACTTCTCTTGCTAATAATACCCAAGTTCCACCAAGTGCTCCCACACCCTGTGCCCAACTGTCTCCTCAGAAGCAGAGCAGCTTGGCCACACAAGCACAAACATCACTGACCACTGTTAACTGACATGACTCACCTTGCAATACTGACCTAAAAGCAAAACAGAGTGTCTCATATGTACATGACATCCCCAGGTGGCTACACCCAGAAAGCGCCTGGGAAATGTGTCTCTCCTCCCCATCTCAGTAGGAATGAAACACTGTTGCAGGAGACTGACCCCAGGCTTCAATTCCCCAACACCTGCCTGGACATCAGTTCCACTACAAAGGGTTTATGAGAAGTTGTATTTCACAAACACATGTGCACAATGGCACACACAAAGCATGACTCTTGGCAGATATTTCTGGAGTGTTGCTCACAAAGTTTAAAAACAGATTTTTGTCTTATCATATTGTCAAAGGGAATCTGGTTTCAGAACAAGAATGACAATGAATCTTAAGTGGTGCTATTTAAGTTTATTGCAAATGGTCCATACTGTTGAAGACAGTAAAATACAGCCCTGTCCCCTAATCTCCTTGGCTTCTGCAGATTCTGAACTTTATCCCACCTACTCTGCTTCCAGAGACAAAAA